GATGTCGGGGTGTGTGGCATATGCTAATGAGTTATGCTAATGAGTTCCCCTAGCTCTTTTTCTACGAAACGACCCCTGGCTACTGGTATTAAAAGTTGTGAGTGAGCGATCTGGCTACTGCATGAATTAGTTTGCGCTGGAGCCCTCCTTCCTGAGCGGAGACAAAACTGTGAGCTAGAGGCTAAACAGCTGTGAGCTAGCTCACACTAACTCGGCTTAGAGGGAACACTGTTTGTAAAGTGACCCAAAGGAAAGAGATCCATGTCCTGAGGAATCTACCAACTGTGAAAGCAAAGGTAGAAATGTGGCAGCAAGGGGTCAACGGGTGGGTTTCTAGGAGAAGAAGAAGAGAGAGAAGAGATTGGATTTATATCCCGCCCTTCACTACCCAAAGGAGTCTCAGACCGGTTTACAATCTCCTTTCCCCTTCCCCTCCCTACAGCACCCTGTGAGGTCTGAGAGAGCTCTTTCGAGGACTGCCCTCGAGAGAACAGCTCTGAGAGAACTTGCAGCTGACCCAAGGTCACACCAGCAGCTGCAAGTGGAGGAGTAGGGAGTCAAACCCGGTTCTCCTAGATTAGAGTTTACAGTCTCCTTCCCTTCCCCTCCCTACAGCACCCTGTGAGGTCTGAGAGAGCTCTTTCGAGGACTGCCCTCGAGAGAACAGCTCTGAGAGAACTTGTGACTGACCCAAGGTCACACCAGCGGTTGCATGTGGAGGAGTGGGGGAATCAAACCCGGTTCTCCCAGATTAGAGTCCACGCTCCTCACCACCACACCAAACTGGCTACCAAGGGAAGCAGATTTTGCCTCCACCTTTCCCTTACTCCAGCCTCGTCCTGAAACCGCAAAAACCGCTGTTGGGGGAGGTATCGTGGAGGAAGGAACAAGACAGGATCCATGGGGCGGGGAGTTCCACAGGCCAGATCCCCCAAAGCCTTCTCACACTTGCCCACCATTCTCATTTCAGGTAGTCCGGGTGTGCGGGGCAGAGGCAGGCCTTAACTCAGTCCCTTTATTATTTTTCCCCACAGGACACCGAGGAATCAGCCAAGCCGCGGCTAAAATCGACATGGAATTCGACTACGACGGGCCGCTCATGAAGACAGAAGTCCCCGGGCCCAAGTCCAGGGTAAATCCAGACAATTAGGGTCCTCCGTCTTTCCAGGCCCACCTCTCCCTAATGCTCCTAGTCTTCCTAAGGCTCCGCAGGACGGGGAACCCGGAATATTTAGGCAGTCCTTCCACAAAAGTTGTGGATTTTGCTCACGGAACTGATTTCTTCTCACGCATTCGAGGCAGGCGGGGTTCTGCAGGGCCAAAGGAATGGGCCATCGGGTCCAGCACTTTGGACCTTTGCCCTTTTCATTTCTCGTTGCCATTTTTTAAAAAAGCAAGTTGCCAGACCCTGTGGCTGCCACGCCACATTCCGAGTCTGAGAGTGACGGGTGAAGTTTCAGAAGTGGGAAACCACTTTGGGGTCAGGAAGTGGTTTTTCTGCAGGCCGGTTTGGCCAGGGATCCTGGAGGGTTTTTTGGTCATCTTCTGGGTGTGGAACGGTGGTCACTGTAGGTGTGGAGAGGGAGGTAATTGTGGATTCCCTGCATTGTGGGGAGTTGGACTAGATGACCCTGGAGATCCCTTCCAACTCCATGATTCTATAATACTATGATTCTATGATTTCAGGGGGTGGGGCCCAGTGTTCCCTCTAAACTGAGTTAGTGTGAGCTAGCTCACCGTTTTTTTAGCCTCTGGCTCACATATTTTTGTCTTAGCGCAGGAAGGAGGGCTCCAGAGCAAACTAATTTATGCAGCAGCCAAATCTCCTGCTCACAACGTTAATGCCAGTAGCTCACAGAGTAGAATTTTTGCTCACAGAGCTCCATAGCTTAGAGGGAACATTGGTGGGGCCTCTCTTCACCCTTCCCAGTGGGTAGCACCACCTAAGAGAAAGATGCAAAAGAGCCCTTGAATGCTGAATAGATTATGCCAAGATTATGCCAATAGAGAGCCAGTTTGGTGTAGTGGTTAAGTGCGCGGACTCTAATCTGGGAGAATGCACCTGCTGATGTGACCTTGGGTCAGTCACAAGCTCTGGCACAGCTGTTCCTGAAAGAGCAGTTTGTGTCCAAGCTCTCTCAGCCCCACCCACCTCACAGGGTGTCTGTTGTGGGGAGAGGAGGGGAAGGGAAAGGAGTTTGTAAGCCGCTCTGAGACTCCCAAGTGAAGGG